CACATATTTTGATTCATCTTTGACAACAAAAACAACCTTATAATGAAAGACTACTAGTTGTGACCAACAAAAAAATGAAGCCGAATATCAATTTCAGACAAATTTCAACAAAAAAAACAAATATTAATCAGCTCAATGACACAAAATAAAATAAAATTATACTGTTAAATCTCAAAAACTATCCAATATTTTTCTCTAACCAGACAATTCAAATTGCATCAATGAAAACAGATCACCTAATATGTTCATGCATATGATACGAGAAAACGAAGTAATTTCAATTTATTAAAAAATCAGAATTTTGCATGATTATGAGCTTCGAATTTACCTGGAAAAAGGAGGCTCGTTCAATTCTGGTTTATTCAAACCCTAATTCGTCGAATCGATGAAGATTGCAGAGACAAAGGAAACAAAAAAAACTATAACAAAATGTCGTTTAATCTACTAGAATTTATCTCTCTTTATTTTTATATATATAAAAAAATATGCAAAGAAAAATGTAACCTCTTAGATATGATGTATTGTATCCACAATCCCTAATGCAAATATTTTTTTTTTTTGGGCCTCTTGATTGAATTTTATAATGTTGAACATACGTTTACGTTTTAGGATTTACATAGGTTTAAGTGACGTATCTTTGAAACGCCGACGTGGCATTTAATCATTGGAGGTTGTCACCGAATTGGTGACATGTAAATAATCAAATGGATATAGTTTTTTGGGGAAATTGACGTAATGAGTATTTCAATCAATCACGATTACTACTTTGAAATCCGTTTTGGTGACTTTTTAAGCTTTTGTTACCTGATCGGTTACCTGAACAGACAAATATTCGCTTTTCATTATAAAAAAAAAAGTTTTTGAGTTTGCTAGTTATGGAGAACGATCATTGAAAGTGACTTTAACCTGCATGGTTGCACTTACATAGCTAATCAAGACTCTAAACATATTGTAACGAATATCCAAACACATTATATTGAAAACGTTAATGCACAAATGAATTTTTGATACTAGTTTGTAGGGTTGGATACAAAAACCCGAATCGAAATTCAGTTATCCTGAAACTGAATCAAATTTCATAAATCATTTAAACGGTAGATAACCAGGGCCATGCCTAGCTTTCTAGAGGCTTAAGGCGATATTCAAAACCGGTTATTACAGACCGAAGATCGACCCGGCGGAGATCTGAGCAGCAAGTTTGAGTCTTGTGTGTTGATTGTTGAACAATAAGCAGTGATTGAATGAAAAGTTAATAAGAAAAGGATTGAATGAAAAGTTAATAAGAAAAGGATCAACAAAGAGAGAAAGAAACCTTACATAATACAAAGTTAAATACTAAATCACTCTATAAGATAACTTCAGATCAATTGGGCACTACCGCACTAGACTAAACAGCAGTTGGTTATAACTTACAACAAGCAATAGTCTTAAAGATTTACATGGCATATAATCATAGTATATTAATCAATGATCTCTACTTATACGATTCATACCTTTGAATGAAGATGAACCGTTTAGCTGTTGGTGCTTCGGTTCCTCCATAGAGTTACAGGCTTAGGTAGGCTTTGATGCTGCGGACAAAGCTTGAAAAACGCTTTGTTGGGTCATATCCTCGACAATCACAACTTTATCTCGAGACTTAGATCCTGAACCTAATGAAACTTGTCTTCTTTTCAACCCCAATACCTGTTTCAGATAACATCTAATTAGTGAGGATGCGATGAAACGGATTCACCTCTTAACTCTAAAAAATCAACAGACATGACAAAGAATTCTCACTGCCGAACGCATTGCAATCTACTAAATTACATGTAGCTTCTGCACAAGGATTATCCATAGGAGCTCACAAGTCTAGTTTACGAATAACGGCTCAACGAGAATCAAAGAAGGGTCTTTTTACCCGTTCAAACGATATGTTCTACTAGGAGAAACCCTACTCATTTTATCAAACATTACAGAGAGACCATTCTACATCATATTATCAAAACTATAATAGCCAAATCGAAATATGAGGAGCAACCAGATCATTAAACAGCTTCAAAGAACTTTAATTTTTTCAAGCACTATATATGTCATAACACTACTGAACTAATCCAATACCAAAAGAGAACGAACCCATGATTCAGCTATATAACAAAAACAGAACTTTTCCTCCAAA